CTTCTTCTGTGCCTCCTAATGATTCTGAACACCCACGATCTATCTACGTCCCCTCGCCTCTCGGGTCCATATAGATTGGGCAGTGTCCTTTGATGAATGCGAAATACAAGACGCATGTGCGGATTATACGAATGGGATATTGGGGCGTCGTAGATCGGTCTTTAGAGATTGTTCGATGTCGAAAGAAGTTTTAAGAGTATACAAATGTGTAATGCTATCTTGTCATTGTTGTGGGCCTTTCTGCACTGTATGACTCATGGATAGCACTTAGATGTGAGGACGTATGTCCAATAATCCACAATAATTCGCCTTGGAACGCCTTCCTCTGCCTTCCTACCTCACCCTACTAGTACCCATGGCCAGTGGTAAATTGTCCTTCGATCGTCTTTTTAACTGAAATGCAATGGGGTTTGCTCGATTGTTGTGGCCTAGCATAGTTCAGCAATCTGAGCACTGTGTATGTACCTATTTAGCATCCAACGTTGAGGAATACCTAGGCTTTGAACGAAGAACTTAGAAGACCAAGTTGAGGTAGAAGCTATCGGAGTGTCGGCACGTGAGATCCTTGATCCCGGAAACCGGAAACAGGCGCCCAATCAAACGATCAAACTGCAACGGCGACGAGCTGCAACACGTCCGTCGTATCAATCCTCTTCACCTATCCTCAGCAACCACATCTGCAACTCGCGCCCTCGGCTGCCTACTAAATGGCGTCTATCAACCTCCAACACGTAGTTGATGAAGGATACAACGATGAAGATATCTTCAACCAACCACTTCCAACGCCCAATCAAGATATTGACTTGCTTTCAGGGCTGAGTTCCGTTCAGGAGCGCGAGGGTATATCATCTTGCTTGCGATACTCTGGATGCAAAACCCTGAAGACCGATTGTTTAACAGATTTAGCGTATCAACTCCTTGCTTCTCTACCCAGGGCTCGTCTCGCAACCATACAAAGGCGGCTCGCGCCATTGTTGCAGTTTGATGTTGTGGGGGTAAGTCGCTTCTCATCTGCTCATTGCCTCAGCTCTGTGAATGGTACTGACTTGAACCTTCACCTTATCATAGTCCTTGCCAGCCGAGGTATCCCTCCAAATATTCTCCTACCTCCCTTTCCCAGCATTACTCGCCTGTGCTCTCGTCTGCCAACGCTGGAACATCCTCGCCAATGATCAATCACTCTGGAAAACACTCTGTGAATCTCGTGGCTGGTCATGGCGACCGCCACCCAAGTTTCCTTCACCTTTCGCTCAGTCCGGCCTAGGTACCTCCTCAGACACTTGGAATAACTCAGACGATGAAGGCATGGGAGATTCGGATGAAGAAGCCGAAGAGGAAGAAGTTGCTGATACTCTGATGATGAGCGAGCTTGATGCTGCTAAAGCTGAGTTGACAATGATGCATGCAGAGCTCGATTCAGGGTTTGCGTCCATGTCGTTTGCAGGTGTTGAGCAGACGATTGCATCCACATCCTCGAATATGCTTCCATCTACTTCAAGTAGAAACCGAGCTAGCGTTTATCCTCCTGGTAACAGTGTTTATCCTTCATCGTCCCAAAAACTACCTGGCACGCGCCCTCGAACAACGGCGCGTCATTCAGCTCCTTCACTTCTCAGTTCGATATCAGCATCTCCTTCATCGAAACCAAACTACAAACTCCTCCATCAAACTCACATGAAACTCCAAAAACGTCTACTCGCATCTTCTTATCGCTTATCCGCCCTGCAAACCCGAGGCGCACCCAATAACTCGCATACGAACACGATCTACTGTCTTCAACTGTACACTTATCCCTCGTCTGGTGTGCAAGTGTTGTTCACTGGATCGCGAGATAAGACAATCAGAGAATGGAATCTATCGACGGGTCTTGTGGAAAGAGTCATCAGCGGGATTCATACAAGCTCAGTCCTCAGCATATGCGTGTATAATGGGATCCTTGCTAGTGCAGGTAGCGATCGCAAAGTTGTTGTGTGGGATCTGGAGAAGAATAAAGCCATAAAAGTCATCTCTGATCATGAAGACAGCGTCCTTTGTGTGCGCTTTGATCAGAAACGGTTAGTCTCTTGTTCAAAAGGTTTGTTTCATCTCTGCTCAATCATGATCATCACCTATGCTCATTTGTCAATCAGACAAAAGTGTTCGGACATACCTCTTCCCTGATCTAGCACCGCAGTTTGTGTTAAATGCACACCGAGCTGCTGTTAATGCGGTGGCCATATCGGATACACTGATTGTCTCTGGTTCTGGTGATCGTTCAATCAGGTTGTGGGATGCTAACACTGGAAACCCCTTGCGTACGTTCGAGAATCACCACAGCAGAGGGTAAATGCCTCTTCTTTATCTTCAAAGAATCGCATGTAGCTGACAGATTTCCAAAAGTATCGCATCCATTGATTTCAAACCTCCCTATGTGCTTTCTGGTTCATCAGATAAACATCTTCGCCTATTCGATATCACGACTCTACAAGGCTGGTCTACTTCACCAGATCACGATAATCTTCCAGGATCAACTGGCGCTACGGCCTCGAGTTCCCAATCTGCTCCCCTTCCCTTGCCCTCGACTTTCCTCCCATCACAGACTGTCTTCTCAGGCGACAATGATCTTTCGAACTCGACTACAGGATATGGTTTTGTACCGGCATCGCACAATAATGTCAACACCACCTTCGCATTCGGACAAGAAGGCCAGGCTGTCTTGTGTCAGACGTGCGGAAATAGTGGTCTGGTTACACTTGGATCGAGTGGGAGACCAGGGAATGGGAATGTTCATAAGGATACTCTGCATAGGGATCTAGTGAGGAGCGTCGCGTTCGGAGATGAGTTTGTGTTGAGTGGGAGTTATGATTTGAGTATCAAGGTATGATTATCATTCAATATACGTTTCATGAACAATGGACATGGATCCATGATCCCTTTGCAGGTCTGGGATCGTAGAACAGGCGCTTTGGTCGCAGATCTTTCCGGTGGACATACGGGGAGGATATTTTGTATTGGCTCCGATTGCACGAAGGTAAGTCGGGTTTCATGCCCAGTCTTTGTCATTTAGTTGATAATATGCTTACTGTTCGATTTTTATCCGCAGGTCGTCTCGTGTGGCGAGGATCAGGTATGTACCAGTTGCCTGCTTGATCAAAATTGAATCTCATCGTCTTTCTTTCAAGCGCATTTGTATATGGGACTTTGCACACGGAATTGACACCAGCTTCATTCATTTATGATGTGACATGGTTTTTATTCACCCAGTTTGTTTGTTATACTTCGTCTCTGCACATACTCGATTGTTCCGAGTTTCAACTTATTTCTGACCGGATTCTCATTTCATTTACTTGTTCATACTGTCTTGATTATTCTCACCTCAAATAATACGCTGTGGATTGGCTCTCGTAGTTCTGGAGGAGTAACGTGTTACATGTACAGCTCAAAAGACAAACTACCGGGCAAGCTCGTTTCTTTGAGGTATCTGTGATGTTCTCTTTCACTTACACTGCCAACAGCACTGAAGTACTGACAGATGATCATGAATGCAGTCCGTCCAAACACCTCGGTCGAAAACATAACCAGGTTATGTAACAAACTACTACTTCCGAGATGCGCCAAACAAACGGGGTGGTGATGAACTCTGTTCAACACTGCTCTCAAGAGTTGACCTGCATGATACCCTCGCAGGCTCGAGGCTGCGTAAACCTTCACGCTCATGAATCGGTCCACGCGATGACCGGGGTGGCAGCGGGCGAGAGAGATCAGCTGGGATCAGCTGGGATCAATCCCAGAGCTTCCAAGCCATCATGTTGTGGAGCCAAACGCGTTGATTGAATTCACAATTTGAATGTTTCGCGAAATGATAAATCGTACCAAAATTCGCGAGCAACGGCCTGCAACGGCACTGCAGGTTCTATATGGGCTTTCAGGCGAGGTATTTAAACCTTCCGTTGCCACGACACATTCCGTGTTTCGTCTCTTGACTCTCTTCTTCCCCCTCCGTTTTCGTGACTCGCCCCAGCCTTCACCTCAACGGTACTAATACTTCTACCAGAAGACAGAACACTTACTCTCCTTCAAACACTCACACACTCACTCGAATCAACATAATGCAATTCACGCTCCTCGCTTCTGCTCTTGCGGCTTTTGCTGCCTCCGCAGTTTCTGCCTCGCCCGTGTCCAACGCGGCTCGTATGATTTTGGATGTTTGGGCTCCGACGATTATTTCGCCTAATGCTAGCACTATTTGGACTGAGGGACAGCAGTATAATGTTACTTGGTAAGGGATGATTTTGCTTGTACTCGACCTCGGGGGTAATACTTACTCATATTGATGTTTGTTGAACTTGAAGGGACACCTCCAATGCCCCCGTCAACATTTCTAACGGAGCCTCCGTACGTCTGGGTGAGGACGGTCAATTGACCGAGACCAGTGCGTTGCATTTGCTTTCCTGTGTTGTGTTGGTTTTGGAGTATTGACCAAACTGTCTTTGGTAGCTCTCGCTAGTGGTTTCGACCTCAGACAAGGATGGGTCACCATTACCTGCCCTTCGGACGTCATTCCCGGAAACAACTATTCCATCATCTGTATGTCCCCGAACTAACTAATCAACTCATACTTACGAAGTGGGTTTCCCAACAGTGTTCGGTGATTCCGGTGACCAGAGCGAGCAGTTCAGTATCATTTCCCCCATGCAAAGCATTCTCGGCCTTTAAATACTTACTGTACTGCCATGCGTCCAAACATCCATACACCCCGTGGACTTATTACCTGGATTATTTCTTTGCGCATCGTCACGCAGAGTAGCTTGGACATTTGCTTTACCCTCGCCCATCATCGTGTCGTGATTCTGCAGATACAATAAGTAGTTACTTTCATACTAAGTAGCGCTTTTGGGTATGCAATTTGACACGGACTTTACGAATGGAAGACATTTCACATTTTGTGAGCTCACAACATTTCCTCTGTTGTGTGTACACTGTAGACGCCTCAGCTCTTCGAACTCTTCAAAAGCTCTCCATCCTTCTTAGCTCAGTTGGTAGAGCGCGTCACTAGTACTGGGATTTGTATTGGGTGTCTATGACGAGGTCAGTCGTTCGAGTCGGCTAGAAGGAATCCACCAGATGAAATCAATTTTTTATTACAGTATACGCAAGTTTCGTCGTTCGAATTTGTACTCATGATCAGTCCACAATCCTATAAGACTTTCTTGTTCACTCTCAAGAACAATGCATTGTGCAACTCACAAAGAAATACATTCCGAATACATTGATGACTACGGATGTGGCATTTCAGGCATGTTTGATGTCTTGCCTCTTCCTTCCCAGTGCAGCTTTCGAGCGTCGAGCTGTCTGGATTGCAAAGTTTGCTACAAAGATGTGGTATTGGAAGAATTCCAAAACATTGTATGACTGCATTCTACGCTGCCTCGTCGAAACTAACTTTCCTTCGGTACTTATTTTGGTCACGAAGCCACTGCGAGAGTCGTGTTAGTTCCGACAAACGTCCTGCAGTGAGAATAAATAGCGACGAACCTTCCGGTATTCACGCAGCGAACCAACTTTCTCTCCTGGAAACACATCAAAGTCAATGACAGCCTCCAGTCTTGTAAAGAGCGCCTACCGTAATAGTCTGGAACAGGGCTTGTAGGACTCTGCAATGTGACATCCACCCGATTCTTCGCTATCCTCTCGTAGAACTCTTTGTCTTTCTTGTCAATCAAGTTACCGTAGCGTCTTGAGGAAGGAAGTTGGCGCCATAAGAATGCGCCGAGGGTTGGTCCTACTAGGTATCCGACACCCATACACGCAGTTGTACAGATTCCGTAGAGCATGAATGGATCAAGGCCCTAAGCGCGCGAAGGTCTGAGTATCGGCGGACTGTTTGAATGAGTTATAGAGCGTACCAAGATGGGTTTCATCGGATCCGTCTCCAAGCCACCGAAATACGCTGCTCCGCATAAAAGACCTACTAATGAGCAAGGTACAGCAGCAAACTAGTGAGGACGTAATCAGCTACGAATCTTCGATGTCAGTCGCGTTCTATGATCTTACATTCTGCCATCTCCGTTTGCTTCGTCGAATGTTAAGGTATTCAGGCCAGGTCAATGTCTCTCCATTGATTTTGGGCGTAGAAGTTTGAGAAGCAGCTGTCTTTGCTTTTTCAGAAGCTGTTGCGGACGAGGTTGCAGTGAGCGTAGGCGTAGGCGTAGTTTTCTGTGCAACGTTTTTCGTCGACTTGAATCGAACGAGTCCTGCTTTTGCTAGGGTGAATGGAGATTGTTGAGAGGCTGTTTGAGTTTTGAAGACGACTCGAATCGAGACATTAGGGATGGTATGGCAATTGAAGGATCGAAAAGATTGGATGAATAGCGTCCGCTGCATGGCGGAACGGAGAGGAAATAATTATGGCACGTGCTTCTCTTCTCTACTTTCATGAACCGTTTATCCGCCAACAAACCTCAACCTTTCTTGAAGTTCGTGAATTTTACGCGTCTCCATCACTTCCAACAGCCTGCAACACACTCTCAATAAACCTTCGATGTAAATCTCAAAATCTTCTTTTGCTTGCCCGCGATTCTTCGCAATGGTCATTGAACGTCAACACCCATGACTCGCCTGCGCAGAACTCCCCTTCTAGTTCCTCATCTCCATGTTTCGCAGCCTCGCACCTTTCCTTCCTAATTCTGCCACCTCTCACTACTACACCTGTCATTCTGATCACTCACTGGAGAAAGCTGGAAGACAATCTCGTAAGACTAAGGTCAATCAGTAAATCGTTAAGCATCTCGTCCGCAGGCAAATATTGGAATTTGCAGATTTAACAAGGTCTTTCCGAAGCCTCAGGAAGCTTTCCGAGTCCCGATGATCCCTCCGTCAAGTAGACTTGATCGACTGCAATGTGGTTCATTCTTCTTATCTGGGATGTATCCCCGGACAGGATTTGATGGGGGTTCTCATGACGAGTTTCATGCGCCAGTGGTATGTACTGTGGACTGATGATTGGGTCTTTGAACTGTGGTTTGCTAATTCTCATTTTCAGCGCAGGATGACTGAATAGCGATCTAACCGCAAATCCTCCGGAACGATATGGGGAACGAGGACGTTGAACTTGAAGCTACAGTTCCATATCGTGAATACGATACCTCTGCGCGTCATACCTACGGACAGACATTTGAACATCTCGGAAGTCGGAAGTATCTTTCCTCCTTCCTTTGCTGAATCCGATATCGCGTGACGACTGGTCTGGCCTTTCCCTTTTCTTTCACGAAAGAGATTATACTCTTTTCGTGCACTACAAGATTGGCTAGCCAAATCGATCCTGCAATTCCTATCGACCGCTGCGACACCAATTTTACATTTGGGATAAACACAATAACCCACTGGTGTCGTCTGTCGTGTGACTAGGACTTGCAATTTCGAAATCAAGCAACAGGAAGGAAAACCGAAGGAGATCATGACGGAGAACGAGGGGATAAAGTCAGAAATGAAGCGAAGTATCGCTGGTATCGGCTAGATACAACCAAATATGCAAAGGTAAGATGAAGACGAAGTAAGCACAACTATTCGACACCGACGGGGCACCCCAAAAGATGCTAATCTCCTTAGTCCTACTACTCCAGCCTATGGTACCTCTAGGTACCTCCCGATGTTCCTTACTGGCAGATCTGCGACGGACTGTCACCGAAATTACCTGAAACCAGCCTCGTCTCATTTATAGGTTCGTCTTGTAATCAGAAGAGCTTCAGGCCATCCTCCAATGACCTCTCTCGACAGTTTACCGCACCTACCGCGTCTTCCCCATGACGGACTCCCAACCAACAAGAACCAATCCGAAACCAAGCTCTCGTATGAATTGACCGACCAAACCAATCTTTTACCTGTCAGACAAGTCATCATCATCTTTCTCGCACTATCGATCTGCGCTCTGGTCACGTCTCTTGATTCTCTCATCGTCTCTGCCTCTCTTTCTACAGTGTCAGCCGTGTTCAATGCAGGCTCTGTGTCGTCCTGGGTCCCATCTGCGTATCTGCTCGCATCGACTGCGTTTCAGCCGTTGTACGGGCGTTTGAGCGATATATTTGGCCGAAAGAGTACTTTGTGCTTCGCGATGGCGGTTTACTTCATCGGGAATCTTGCTGCCGGGTTCTCCAACTCCATAGTTCAGCTTATCGTGTGCAGAGGGATCGCAGGAGCGGGAGGAGGAGGGATCACTAGTATGTTGCAGATCACGATTTCTGATATCGTTCCTTTGAGGGAAAGGTAAATCGATATGTTCTCTCGGTGTTCACGACTCTTGACGCGCGATTTATTTTTAGAGGGAAATATGTTGGTATCTCAGCCGGTGTGATAGCAGTAGGATATGCTATTGGACCAATCATTGGTGGCGCCTTGGCTGAGAAGGCTAGCTGGAGGGTTGGTCATCGAAGTTTTGTTCAGACGTGCATATGTATCTTCTAACCTGGGTTTCATCCAGTGGTGTTTCTGGGTTACCCTACCTCTTTCGGTTGTCGCTACCATCATGGCAGTGATCTTTTCGCCGTCCAAGCCAATGGCCGGAGGAATCATGGAGTGAGTCCTTTTATCCATACTATATCTATCATGTTCCTTATTGCTTCAATAGTAAGCTCAAGATCATCGACTATCCTGGTTGTCTAATGACACTCGGCGGATGCTCCCTCGTCATGCTTCCCCTGATTTGGGTGAGTCGTTTTATCTGTTGTACTTGTTAAATTGCTCAATCGAAGCAATCAAGGGAGGCGTAACATATTCTTGGAACTCTGTGATGGTTCTCGCGCCCTTGTGTTGCGGTATTTTTGTGTTAGTGGTCTTCTGCCTTTGGGAATGGAAGGGTGCGAAGCTGCCGATCGTTCCAAGTAAGCCTAGTAGTCCTTTATCTCATCTTCTGCGCATTCTGGCTGATGTCGTGCTAGTGCACATCTTCAAACATATCACTGTCGTTGGTGTCTACTTATGCATGTTTGCCAAGTACGTTCTGAAATTGTTGACTCTCGGATGGCCGGTGACGATATTCTCGCAGTGGATTCGTTTTCTTCTCTACACTGTACTACCTACCTTCGTTCTTTCAAGTCGTGTTGCAATATTCTCCCACTTATTCCGGCAAGTTCTCAACAGTCTTTATACGTCCACGATCATTTTTAATACTTCAATAGGAACCTTCACTCTACCGCTCCTGCTGAGTCGAATCCTTTCAAGTCTAACAGCAGTGAGTGTGTTGTTCTTCTTCCTTTCAACACTATCTCATCATCGATATTCTCAGGGACTGTCTGTCAGTCATACGGGTAGATACCGCACAATAGTCTATTCTGGCTTCGCCTTATCCGCTATCGGGTGTGGATGCATCTCCGTATTCGACTCGAGCCTTCCCCAAGTGATGATGGTCATCCCAATGCTCATGGCCGGTATTGGAAATGGCATGGTACGTTCGTTGAGCTAAGGAGACGCTGCCCATAACTGAATAGTTCTCCTGATAGACCATGCAAACTACTACTGTGGCCGCTCAAGCTAGTGTAGCGAGGAAGGATATGTCCGTCGTTACCGCTCTTCGAAGCGTGAGTTTCGTGGGTGGGATGTTTGAATTTAACTTACATGAATTTCACAGTTTCTTCGTATGCTCGGAGGAGCGATTTCCCTCCCGGTTTCTTCCTCGCTCTTGTGAGTATACATTGTATCATGACTTTGATTCTCTAACGTGGCCCGATTCCAGAAACAACGCGATCCAGAAATCAATGGTCAATCTTGAACTCCCTTCTTCTGCTATCACCACTGTCATCGGCAATCCCTCGTTGCTCACAAACTCCACTGCCATCGCAAGCCTCGATATAGACTCTTCTCAGGCGGCGACCATCCTCTACAAAGGGTACACAATTGGCTTTCGGAACATCTTCTACTTGAACGCCGCATTGTCGGCGGCCGCGACCGTGGTGAGCATAGTGATGATCAAGCATAAGGACCTTTTGAGGGGAGACGAAGAAGAGCTGAGAAAGGAGGCCGCCGAAGCGCTACGAAAGGCTAAGTTGAAGGATGATGAGAAAGACTCGTTTGAGCTTGAAGAGAAGGTTGGCTATAAATTTTGAACGCTCATCTACTACTTTA